GATAATTTTTGCTAATATTTAGTACTGACACAAATATATCTACAACTTCTTTTACATCACGTATAGTTGAAATCACTAAAAAGAAGGAGCTTCTTGATCTCCTTTTTGCTTAATGTAGGCCAATGTAATATTTTTTGTGTTCCCATTATTACATTTCAAAACAGCAAAGTCAGACACTCGAATCTTATTCATCAACTTTTACCTCGTCTGGATCTTTCAAAGTATATTGAAACTCACAGCTGTTTACAACTTATATACTTATCGTACTAGAAATATTCACTGTCGCTCTTGAGTTGATTTACAATTAAGTGTAAGTAAATTATGATTAATGTACAAAACGTTGATGCATAACAAAATGAATGACACATGGAGATTCTTACCCAAGAATGTCGAGCCTTCTCAACAATGACTCTCCTTACTTAATAAAGCGACCCCGTTACTGCACCGTTTACTCTACACATTCATGTTATTCATCATGTGACCACCGCGTACAATGTACGCGACATTCGCTCTCGTCATGCGATACAAACGTCGTTTTCTCGGTGGAAAGTTTCGCGGTTTGTGCACGCGCGTTTTCTCGAAATCCTCGCGCAAAAGATCGAGTGAGCGCGATGCGTGCGATGGCGGCAGTTAACGAAGGGAAAATCGTCGGGCAGTCGCGGCATTTATCTCTAATTGAATAATATCGAATGTTGAAACACGCCGAGTATCAGTCTGATGGCAATGACGACCTGGTCATATTACGGTGCACGGCACCTCTCTCACCGTTGCTTCCCGTTCCGCGTCGTTCCAGCCCGTCTGTTTTTCCGTTCGCAATATTCGTACGACTCGATAGATCGTCATGGCTGCGAATATTCCTGTCTCGGAATCAATTTTTGCTGATTTATTTTCTAACTCGGCTTAACCCTCTATTATCTTTTAGAGACTTGGAAACGAATAGGGACGTTGATTTTTCATGAATATTTGAGTGGGCGTTGCTTTTTGTAACTGTATAATTTTATTGTACGTTCAGGAGTGATACGTACATAAATATTTAATAATATGATGTATTCTCTAAAATCTCTGGAGTAGAATCTAACCCTTAAAAATTTCACTCTTAAAAATTGATAATTGAGCCACTCTTTTTCAACATTGTTTGTTCTATAATGTTTATACAGTATGTACATGATTAAATTAATCAATTTATTTTTTCTTTTATCCTTTTTTTAAATATTAGATACAGTAAATATTATATGTATTTATTTATAGTAAAAATAGATAGGCAGTTTTAGTGTTAAAGATATGATAATTTTTGCTAACATTTAGTACTGACACAAATATATTTCAACTCTTTGTCGCTCTTTAGAATTAGATTCCACTCCAAATATTTTAGAGAGTACATATATTGGGTCATTTAAAAAGTATCCGCGGTTTTTTTCATTCAAAAATTGAACAAAAAACCGCGGATACTTTTTAAATGACCTAATATATGATATATTTAATATGTATAAATTATATATACACGTAATAAATAATTTTTTGCGCATAGTGAGAGTTGGAATTTAAAATCGAATCTGCTTTTGTAATTGAGTGTAATTGAGGAATGAGATTGTTCCGTCGGCTTGCCCCTTTACTCTCGAGCCTTTCATTTTGAAAAATTGTTGTAACGGAAAAGAACTTTGCGGCACGCCAATGGCCGTTTCACCTGCTGCGAAGGATCGCTTTTATCGAATCTCCCCGCACGCTTTCTCCGGACACGCTCGGAATAAAATGTTGATTCAACGAGTGTATATAAGGCTTCCTATACGCAAATTACGCAGACAGTGAGACCATTGTTGTCCGTGGTTTATTTGCATGTGATTTTCGATGGCCTTTTTTTCACCGAGTTAGCCGGTCACAGTTCGATTGTGGCGCGGATCTCGATCAGTGCTTTCTCTCGACGTTGCAGTTTGCACTTGGAAATAGAGACACGGTATTTTTCCCCTGAGATATTCGGTATAATCGTGATGATTCTCGGTCATCGATTTGATATTTATGCCTTTCATGGGAAAACAAGATCTTTTTGAAAATTTACATAGGCATCACGGACGATTTGCCAGGCGGATCTACAGGGAAATATTTTGAAGTCTTCTTGAAGTCTTCTTTTTTAAAAATATTTATACTGTCAAAATGTTATACTGTTAATATTTCTGAAATATTAATCACAATTTTGATATTGCAAAAATATCTTTTACTTTAAGAAACATTTCTATTATATTATTCTTCTTTTATGTTAATATACTTTTAAATGAAACATTTTATGAATTATACATTTAAATAAATTTTTTTAGTGTAATAATTTAAATAATAATTTAATATTCTATCTTTATTCATATTTAACCTTAAACAATTTTTTGCTTGCGCCACGTCAATTTTTTTCGGCCTTTGATAAATATCTGGACTCGCTAATAAATAAATAATAAATTTTAAGAATCACACGATAAGATAACAATCCCGGAAATAAATCCCGTCTTCCCCGATATAACGGACTGTTGAATTCTGAAGAAACATACCTGATTCTGAGTAGACGTTCGATTTGTTACATCGTCGCTTCGAAGTCAATTAATTAAAATCGATATGCTACTTATTTAATCATCTACTTCTGAGATTATAAAGTTCTTCCTCCGTGCACGTGGGATTCAATAAACACACACGTTCAATTCCACGTCATTTCTTTATCTAATACTAAGTCTCGTGAGAAATGTTGATTCAACTCACTCGTCTATTTAAACATTATCTAAAACATTGTCTTCAATGATAGCTCATTTGTATTATTTGATAATTGCTGGATTAGAAATATTAAATATTATGATTACAGAGATATCAAGAGAGTGTTTGTAACGATGACGTTTCTTAGCGCCTTTGATTTATAGATTGCTTTCTCTTGCAATCATATAGTTATCACTTGCGTACATTTCGCAGTTGTTTGATCGAGCAATGATCATAGAAGTATTAAGAGTTCATAATACAGCTTTATTAAGACATAAATCTTACATATCTATTATCTAATAATAATAGTTGTACACAGAAAAAAGACTATTCTTAAATCAACCATAATATATTCATATAAGAAAAAATATTGTAATCTCGCTTTAAAAATTTTGGTTTTTTTTTTTAATTTTTATTGATGTTAAGATTTTTAATTGTGCAAGTCTTGAATTGAGTGCAAAATAATACTTGCATCAAACAAGACTAATATCTTTGAATATACTTTAATCAAATCAAGACTAATATCTTTGAAGCAAGATTCCAATATTTTTGCTTATATGTGAGTATATTATGATTAATTTAAGGAGTCTTTTTTTCTGTGAAAGCTTGTAAACCATGTTACGTTCTTAATTTTTTTATAAACATAATCAATTGCTTTTTTTAATGCATTTACATTTTAACAGAGTTGATATTTAATAAGTATGTACTCTTCTCATGTTAAGTTGGTCTTGATATTCTATCACATAATTTTTCAAGTATTCAAATGTAACGATTATAATCGACAAACTATAATTTGTCCTTCATAAATTCTTCTAAGTAGTAAAAATTTTAATTTATATCAGATCTATTAATTAGATGAGTTGCAAAATACTTAATTTTCATTTATTACGAGAAATAGTTTTATTGCAAAGGATTCAATTTACTGTAAATTTCGAATGATTTTTTCAATTTTAAGTGGAATATTTATGACCACTAAATTTTCCTAATAATCCAAATCAGATAAAGTTAGTTTCTATCTTCCAGTTTCTTGAGTGTTATTTTTATCATTCTATGCAGCTTCTTGTTTTCCATCAGAAACATTGTTATCAAACCATCTTGCATATAAACACAATGACAATGATGTTACAAAATTGTATAATGCGCTATTTGCATAATGACCGATCTAAGATATTGCTTAACATACATGAAGTTTTTTATCGTCTAAAGAACTGTCACTTCGTCAGCGATTATTTTATAACTACCGATCTCGATTGATATATATATATATATATAATCATTTATAAAATTAATTCATTCATTCTATGGTCTGTGGGATTAGGTGAGCTCTTTGTAATTATAAAGAACTTTAGAGCTCTGAGTGACGACCGCAAAAATCGCGATGGAATCAGCTGCCACGAGCGTGAAGAAACATCAGTTTGTTTCATCACAACATTCAGTTACTCATACCGGAATTTAATTTATTACTGCCTCACGCATTTGAATGCAAACATGTTGCTTAAATTTGCATCAAATACTTACTTTTTTGCAATAAACCAAGTATGAGCGAAGCGTTTTTTTAAGAATTGCGTTTTTTTTTTTGCAAATAGCAGGCAACAGGAGAGACTATGACGTGCACCTACCTGTCCCAAGTTGCTATCTCTCTCTCTCTTTCTCTCTTTCTCTCTCTCCCTTTTCCTCGTTCTACCTCCTCCCTCTCTCTTTGTCGCTTCTCTATTTTGCCAACCGGATCGGCTCGCTTTCGAGCTCCAAGTAACTGTACTTGTGTTTCCTGTATCTCTAAATTGGTAACGCGGTTCAAAGCGGCGCGTAGCGGCGAATCAAACTGTATCGAAAGTCAGGATATGCCTCGGAGTACATAGAACGGAGCTATCTTTCTCCATATATACATGCCTATTTTTTATGTGCTCGAACGTAGCTAGGATGTCGTAATAGATATAATACGTAGATACGCGTGCATGCAAGATCTGCCCTAAAGTGACACACTTCGTCGCGCGGCATACCTTTCGTCTTCTCGTGTGAGACTGAGAAGCGACATTTCTAAGCATCTGATTATGCGTCAATGTCCATAATGAAGCGTAGAAAGTCACCGCACGGAGACATCGGCATAACATAACATTACTTTTGAACAGTCCTTTGAAGTTCCCTCCGAAATTATAGACCGTTCCACGAAGGATCGGCAACAATAAGGAACTCCAAGGAACGTATTCCGACAATAGTTCCAGCTTTAGCAATTCTGGAAAGTAATTTAAATTGATTTTTCACGCTTTCGACAGGTGAAGGCTGCGTTGAGAAGCCCGTGTCGACCCTATGGCGGAATTACGTAAGCAGCAATAGACCCGACGTTTCCATGAGGTTGACTGTGACCAACGGTGGTCTGACCGCGACCACTAAAGACCACGGTCTCACCGAGTATTGGGCTCACCGTGTGACTTACTGCACAGCGCCAGCCACTCATCCACGCCTCTTTGTTTGGGTATACCGACATGAAGGCCGCAGACTGAGGCCCGAATTAAGGTGTCACGCAGCTCTGTGCAGCAAGGAGTCTACCGCAAGAAGACTCGCCTCGATCTTGAATACCAGGCTGCAACAGGCGCTCATGGAATTCCGTCGAGACAAGGTCTCCAGGCAAAACGCCAGGTAAGAGCAGCGGTATCATGCCACAAAAGTAAACTGAGACTTAAGCGAGTTGTGGGAAGCGGTGTTATTTCAATAGTCTTCGATGCTCTTATTGTTTTGCTATAAAGAGTTAAAACTCGAGAAATTTAGAAACAAATTAAGAATGCAAATCTTCAAATTTTGTCTTATTTTCTAGTAACGATAAATAAACACAAACGGAAGTCACGGAATTTGCGGAAGTCGCGGGATTGAGATATTAGCGGAAATTATTAACGGGCATTATCTAACATTGGCAAACAATTAATGGGATTTAGAAAGTATTACGGTGGGATTAGTGAGATCTTGTTAAGTGTTAGAATTGCATTAGAAGAGAATTAATAAGATACACATAATACATTCGCATTACGGTGTTTATTCAATGTGCTAGAAAATATTTGAATCTCTTTTTGTTTTATCAATTCTTCAATTTTAATTACTTAATTATCTAAATGCGTATCTTTATGATATTATAATATTTGTTTGGTTCTTAATAGCTCATTAAAATTGAACCGGCGACGATTAATCGTACGCGGCACAATTTCTCAATCGTAGAATTCTTTGAGTTTCCGTTAGGCTCATTTCAATGTCGGGCAGCAACCGACATTACATTCGCGCATTCCAATCGCACATTCTTCGCATTTTTATCGTCCTTCGTGCGTTATATCGTTGTTACATGGGCCATGCAGGTGTTTGCCTCTTCCCGTTTTAATCAGGAGAAAAGAGAAATTTCTCTCATCTTCGTTCTTTGAGAGGCACGCGAAGTTACGCGTGCTCGTGCATGCAATGTGGCAGTCACGATTCTGGTCACAATTGTAGACGTTATGTGCGCGATCGAGTCACGATCCAGGACGGGAAGCGATCGCCACTCGACGATTGTACATTCGGGTCAGTGTTTCCAAGTCGCAGGTCAAACATTATAGGGTACTTTCCATTTGGTGACACAAGTCGACATAAGTGTCGTTCTATCTTTATTACTTATATCTGTATGTTAAGAAAGATAGAAATGATGCTCGTGTCACCAAATAGAAAGCATCCATATTCGAGCATTCCAGTCAGAATCGTGCTAATACGTCTAATTCGCTACTTTCTTTATATCGCATTATCTTTCAGGAATTTATCTTTTTGCCAGAAAAAGAGTAAATAGAGAAAGTTGGACAATTTTTATTATTTAATCAGTTAGAATTTTAATTTATTTTTAATTAATAAATACAATATTTGTAATTTTATAAATAAAAATTTTATTATTCTCTAAATATAAAAGTAACGTCTCGTAAGCAAATTGTAAAATTACAGAAAAAATGATATTAAAAATCTTTTTCTTACTAATGTATTTTCATTAATAAGTGTAAATTAATTTTAATCTTGATTTAATTTACTTTTTACTTTTTTCTAGTTCTTAAAAGTTGAAAAAGATAAAAAGTAAATTAAACGGATATTAAAGTTAATCTATAATGATAGAAATGGATGTAAATGTATCAAGTCATTGAGGATCAATTTTTATTATGAAATTTGTAAAAATATGATATTATTTGTATATTAGTATATTTGAATTAATTAACATAGTTTACGTAAATTGTTACAGATTGTCTCTGGCAAACGCATTATACGACAATCCGTCGTTGCCGCGTAGGAAACTTCTTCTGAGTACCGGTGGTCAAAACTATCGACCGCCCTTGGAGAGATCAAAGAGCGCGCCTAAGTTATCAGCGATTGAAGAGGACACGGTAGCAGAAGAGATAGAGCAGAAGAGGCTGCTGGAGGAATTGCGTTCCTTGGAGAACGTAGCACGTAGCTGGGAAGACCAGGACAGCTGGAGGATAGCCAGACTACTGGAAGCCCTCAACCGCGAGTCCGACGAAAACGGTAGCATCTCCAGTGGATGTGAAACCGCCAGCACGGCAACCAGCGAGGAAAGAGCCACTGGTCCGGAGGAACATCTTGCTCAGAGTTCGTATAATTGTTCGCTTATCACGATTGATCATATCAAACAATCTGAAACTTGAAGCAAAGTCTCGATAAACTTTTTTTAAATACATCTTTTTGAATGTATAACTACATGTTTTTTGATGACGTAAACGATAATATCTTTAAATTTTTTCGTTATGTAAAGATGGTTACATAAAGTAATGAAATTGTAATATGAAGCGTATTTTTGTTATATCACCTTGTGATATATAATTAAAATGAATAAACTGCATTAATTTATTCTGATTAGCACGAGTTTTTAAGTTCATTTTGTTATATATAATTTTGTTGTATAAGTAAATAGCGAGTTGCATTTTCTTAACATCATCAATAGATAGATTTAATAAACGTATAATTGATTTTTTATCGTGTCTTTTTTTGATAATGTTTTAATTAACATTATTTTTTGTGATATTTAATTTTTTATTCGAAATATATCTCTGTCTTCGTAAAGTTTTTTTTAGAGGAACATATATGATATTTGCATAACACTATGTCGAAAGGGCAGTTACTTGGCAAGTTATACCAGTTAGTGCGTGACACACGGATGTTATAATATTATAATGTCACTTCGTGATAAGTTGCTTACCTTTAAAATACATTTTCTAGATCAGCGAGGGTCGATCAAAAGGGTTATCTTCACGGAAGACCGAGTCGGCAGAAGATCAGGACCACGAAGAAATTCGGAAGGTTCGCCACATTTCATGACATGTGCCGGTAGTCCCCGTTTCAATCCTATGGATCCTATGAAGAGGTTTCCCTTAAGGAGCGAGGAAGAAGAATCGATGGAGGAAGAAGAAGAAGAAATGGAAGACACTGCTTCGAATATGTTCGATTTCGAGGATGTGGAGGATCTTGACGACGTGGTGGATTATCGGCCGAGGGGAGAGGTGATGAACAGGATTGAAGATCCGCAGAAGAGGGAAAGGCGAGCGAACGAGAAGTATCCTGGTAGGATAGGTCACGATTTTTTGCAAAATGAGGAGACTTCGTTCCTAACTCTGGATTCTCTCGACGAGGAGGCCGACAGCGATGAGAGCGGTTACGTGGAAGCACCACCAAAGTCTTTATTAGGTCAAGACGACAAGAAAGAAGAGGAAGAGAGCGAACATCCGCGATTAGAGTCATTTATGAATAAAAGAGAGGACAAATTGGAATCGACGTGTAGAACCGACGAAAGTGGGAATCAGAGGACGAAACACGAGGATTCTAAGTTAGATAAGCAAGAGGAAAAAAAAACGGAGAAGAAAGATCCCTTAATGGTGAGTAGATTTTAAATATCCTATCTCAGATACTATTAAAAAGTTAGCTAGCGCGTCACTAAGAAATTCCAAATCTTTCGAAATGACAAGCAGCAATTGCTTAAGCGTACTAAATAATTTTAAAACCTCCAAGTCATTTGACAGTGTGAAGAATGATGAGATTACCGTGGATTCGCCAAGTCTTCACCAAAGGAAGCAATTATTGGCACAACGCGGTGTCATGGTTTAAAATGTCCCTTTTAAGTTGAATATTTTTCCGATTTCATATTACGAATTGAACGGAAATTAAATTAATTGAATAAATATTTATCTATTATTAAGTCATCACGAATCATCAAAAACATACATCAAAATCATATTAAAAATATCTGAATAATATCAAAGCAATTAAGATATTGTTCAAATGATTTGCTAGATTTTAAAAAATCCCTTGAATCAAATGCTGTCAGAATACTATCATCGAGTTAAACAAATACACTCAGTGTCGAAATTCGATTTAAGCACAATATTTCAAGAGACATAGTTGATTTCTTGTGCCTCTCTAGTTGGTTAGTTTCTTATGTCTGACAATCGCGACCTCGCAGAAAAATATACTAAAATAGACAATACATTAATATTAGTTAGGAAGCCATTCAGCTAAATTAAATATGATACAAAATGAACTTAATTTGATTACAATAATAATTTCCAGATAAACTATAACTAGGACCAACATTATTGTTTCACGCAAAGCTATTTAATTCCTCACGTTGCAACTATAGGGGGGTTGACAAGGAAAATATACTTACATATTATATACATAATATGTATTATATATACATATATGTACAAAGCATATATAAAAATCCTGAAGCTATATTTGATATTCGTATCTACTATATGTATTGCAGAGATATAGTCGGAAATTAAAAATATCCTATTTGAAAGCCTATAGAAATTTTAACAAACAATACTTGCAATTGATAAAATTGAAATAAAATCACCTTGTAGAAATATAATCTTATACCCAAAAATAAATGGCTAATTTAGCAATATGATTTTTCGTATCGTTGATATTAGACTTCCGTATGTTCAGATATTAGATTTCCATTCAATATTTAAACATGAAAATCATCTATTTTGAAGATTAAAGGGACATTTATTGGATCATAAAGTATCGACACTGCATCGTATCTTGTTGATTATAATGTTAATATTGTTCGAATTACTAGTAACGAAGTTAAGTTTGGATTTTGTGAAATAGGAGATATCGTAAATCGGACACGATTATTAAGTAAATGATTAAGTGATGCTTGTAAATATAATTTTTCGCAAAGTGGAAATTGACGATACATTGTTACTCGTAATATTATTATTACGAGTAAGAACGCAAATGAATAGACATTGTAGAATATGATTGTGGTTTTTATTGCGTTCTTTTATCCAACACTTTACGCAACATTCCAACATTTCCAAACCATCCTGAGAACGATTAAAGATTATTCTAAGATGCGAATCCATATGTATCCATCGCTATTCAAGACATTCAATAATACGTTTGTCCGATTATTATCCAGATTCATTGCTTTAATGCAAGTTAATTTAAATGTAAACGTATCCATCATTCATTCATGCTCTATTATCAAGACCCGCGATAATTTGTTAAATCAGGAATAAATGTTGCCTTCCCTTTTTTTTTACCAATTAATTATCTTGAAAAGAAACAATTTAGTGCGTAGTTAAATGTACTTCGCAAGACAATAATATGTACATACATTATTTTCGGCCTATACATTGACAGAAATCAAAACATTCCTTCGCAATAATAGTCTTCAATAATAGTATATATTATCGGTAACAATGACGCTTCAATAATAATATACGTTATCGGTAACGTATAATATATTCACACATAATATAGCTCATGTCGATTAGGCAACAAGATAAATATTCGGAATCGATCATGTCCATCGAGGATTTCGCCGCCGATGCGAAACCCGAGATGAATTTTGTGCCAGATTGCGGCCGGAGTCTGTATCGCGACGTTGTGTATGAAAGACAGAGAGGTGGTACCAATAAAATAAAGGAAAACTCGAAAGATCGGAGTTTTCTAAATGTATCTGTATCTTCCCGCTTCCTGACCCATGAATCTCGGAATTGTTTTTCGCGTAAAGTTGCATTTGAGACAGTTTATGATCAGGACGAATCAACTAATAATTTTGGATAGCGTGCTATCGATAACAGAAAACGTGATTTTTTAAGGTCATCTTATAAGCAATATTAAGGCCAGACTATTAAAAACGTCAATGATCCTGATCGATTTTTCACTATTATTTATGTTATTTTTCAGAATAAAAAATGTGTGCATATATATATATATATATATATATATATATAAAATATATATTATGTTTATTTTTAAACATATATATATATATATAATATATAAACACATTTTTATTTCTACAAAAAATAAATATACATGAAATATACACGAATATAAAAATATCTCTTATTTAATGTTTCATATATATTTCATATACATTTACTTTTTGTATTTATTTAGGCTGAAGCCTTGTAAGGAAAATTTTCATTTCTGTTTCGTACATTAAGTTACAGAATTAAAAATATAGAATTTTTCTCATGTACGTATATATTTGAAAATGATTTACTTATATAAATGAATTTTAGAATATTCCATGCGATATTAAATAATAAGCAAGATGTTTGGTGTAGATTAAAAATTGAACAATAGTAATGTGACCTAATTAATTTTCATCATGAAAAAAGCAGCTTTAGATTTCCTATAGAATCCACGAGATGAAATAATAAGCAACGTATATGTACATGTAGAAAGAGAATGATAATAGAACTTTTTTTATGTGTTACTTAGCTCTTCTTTTCATACACATAAATTTTTTGGTATGATTCGATTGCAAGAGATGGCGACAGTTATATTTACACAGTTATTTCTACACGAGTAAATAATTAAAAAAATGATCAGAAAAATCTGAGGACTAAATTAGATCATTGACACTTTCAGATAAAATGTATAAATTAATTGAGATAAAAGTTATGCATTATTTATTTATCATTTACTTAATTACATTTTTTCTATAATTAATAATTTAATATTATAGGATTTCATAGCAAAATTAGCATACAGGATGCCATAGAATTTAATTTTTTTATAAAATAAAATTAAAGAAAATAATATATTTAATAAGAAAGACAGAAGACAGAAATAGAAAAAATTAGAACTTGTTATTATATTAATAATTTTAATTCGACTCGCGCGCAGTTATAAATATTATTTTATGCTCACATATTCTTATAAAAAATAATTAAATCTCCTTATTTATTGTTAAAGAAAAAAACTGTCTTTGCGACTTTTTCATCGTTATTTATTATTTAACGCAACTCATTTAGTCAAATCATAAAATCTTTTAACTTTCCTTTCGCTCTCCTTTAAGATTCTTTCAACACAAATTAGGCACGCCTTTTAATTAAATCTGGAAACAGAAGCTATATTAAAAAGAGAGAAAAAGAAATAAATCCACGCACGCGAATCGCGACCGCATATTCCTCATGCTGGCGAAAATTTACGCGAAAACAAGAGCCGCGATCGTTCGTGTTCTCCCGGCGGCGTCTGTCTGCGAGGCGGGCCTTGTCCAGAGTCAAGATCAAGATCAAGGTACTATCAAGGTGGCCGGATCCACAGCCAGGAGTACGATAACGCTGGTACGCGCTGCCACGATATTCTCTCGCAAACACCATTATGTGTCGATGTGACCTACTAAGCGCGACATATGTATGTATGTACACATCGCAGGCCATGGTGAGTGTAAGATGAGGAAGGCAAAAGTGCGAGGGGGGGAGGGAATCCCCGCAGCTTCATGTTAAGCCTCCATCAGTGGGATGAGTGGGACCGTCTCGTCAAGCTGGACCATAAAAACATGCCTTCCCGAAGATTATTCGCGCATCCGATACCTTGATAGCATTACGCGACGAATGATGTAAATCAAATCGTAATGAAGCATTAATAATGATAAGAACAGAGGGAAAATGGAGGAAATGTAAAAACTTGCGTTTTTCAATCCTTTTTTATTCTTTTATTTTTCCATTTTTTTTTATAAGGAGTGCGCAGTTTATTCTTGTTTAATTCGCTTTGCATCTCTTTTGAAAAGATATGTAGCAAGTCTGATTTAAACTTGAAATAGAAAAGCAATCCAGGTGATTTGTATAAATAAATATGTGCATACGAAAAAAGTTTCTTCGCTTTACGTCAAATCTTGAAAAATGAAGAATTTTTGTAAGCGATACATCGAAGTCAAAAATTACTCAGCTTTTTTCATCGATATCATTTTTTTTATATCTTTACGAAAAATTAACTAAAAATTAACGATCTACGCTCTTTTTTGGGACAAAAAATTTATTGCTACTTCGAGAGAAATATCTTGGTATGTACATTATTTTGTTGATACGTGATTAACAAAAACTTCCTTACTTTTTCATTAAAAAATTACGTTGTCTAATCAAGGATTAGAATAATTAAATTTGTGTTATTCTGATTAAAATTTGATTATTTTAAACAAATTTTGCTTAGAACAACAAGCAATTTTTTAATGAAAAAGTAAGAAAGTTAATTTTTTTATTAGTCACATCAAAATAATGTACAAAACATTTTTCTTAATATAAGATGACTCTTTGATAGCAAATATAATCTTTTCATTCGATTTCCAACATATAACAAAAATTTTCTCATAGAGATAATTATATCTCAAAACTATTTGTCTTTAAATTCCGAGTAGAAGATGAGTGTCATGTACTTTGCTTTTTCCATCGTAACTCATCCTCACTTAAATTTCATGTTCCAAAAATCGAACACGATCTTCCAAAGATACAGAAAAAACTAGACTCATTCGTTTTTACAATTCTGCCACGAATTCGCGGGGAAACAGAAACAAAATACAATTGCGACTTAATTAAAATTCCGTATATTTTAATTACGATCTTTAATGGGTCAAGAAGAACGACCGGGTCAGAGAGCTCTCGATTTAATCGCGTCGGCTTTAAAAGTGACACACCAGCTGAACGAGGCATATCCCCAAGTCCCTTATCTTCCGGCTCCCGCGCCAAGTATACAAGCCGCTATCCTACCAGGTGGTACGAATTCGGGGCCATCTCGCACGGGGATCCGATGGGTGCCACGTTATCTGAGTAGGGGGGTACATACACACTACACGGGTGCCTCCTCCATAGAGCGCGGAGCGCTCCTCGTACGTGTACGTGTGTGAGTACGGAGTCGTGAGTAGTGTTAACGGCCTTGCTTTATGTGGGTCATGAAACAAGGTCCCACCAGCACGGGGGGAGCCTGGGAGAGTCACGGCGTGCGCTTAACTTATGCTAGTAAAGACGAGCCGATATACACGCACGCGATACACACACGCATACGCGCGTGTATACGCACGCGGCACAACGAGTCTCGCGGCAACTTGCGCTAGCACACCACATCGAGAGAAGGCTTTCTACCGCGCGAGCTGCCGGTGCACCTTTCCTCCGAGCGGATCGAAGCCCGACACGGTGATCGATCGTAGATCTGCGTAGATCCGATCGGAGA